ATTTCTTATTTAGAATGTAATGTAAAAGCTAATTAATTAATTAAATTAATTTGGTTTAAAAAATTTGAATAACCGATCGACTATTATTTAAAATTAACTAGAATGCAATATCAAATTGGTTTCATACTCATTAGTGTTGCCCAAAATATATCTTGGTCTTGCACATTTCAAGACCAAGACAAAGACCGCCTAACTGTTGCAAGGCCAAGACCAGGACTTGTAAAAAAATCGATTTTTTAAAGAAAAATTAAGGCAAAACGGTCACTAATACTTGACAATCTTAGTTACTATATGTAAATAATTGGTATAACCAATATACTTTTGCATTTTACTCGTCTAATTTTTCATTAAGGCTTAGTTAGATTTCTCCTATCTAAACAATTACTGTAATATATCTATAGCAATAAGCTAATAAGTAACTGCAAGACTGTTGCGCAAGACCAAGACCGTGACCAGGACTGAGTTTACAAGACCAAGTAGACTCGTCTTTACCAAGTCTCTCGTATTTGGGCAACACTAATACTCATCTACAACTTATTAATTTTATTTTATTTCCAATATGCTACTATCAATCATTGTTGACAAAGATAATAAAAATTTTAGATGATATCAATTCTACTTTAAAAGATCTACACTACGGGTTGAGGTTGTATGTAAACATTTCTATCGCTTTTAGCTGACAATCCACTTGAAGTACGATAAACTTTTAAATATGAAGGCTGGATTTAGATTTTCTGAGATCAAAAAGAATCTAGTTTCAAGAAAATATACAAACAGACATTCGGAATATTTGCATCGACGGGCTAAGGTTTATTTTACGATCAAATTTATTTTGAATGTATTTCGGTCACGACCGTATTAATGTTCCCACATTTTTCTTTTGATTCAAAGTAGTCACAGGAATTCACTAGCGGATCCAGGATTTAATTTTGGGGGGGCTTCAGCCCGAAACCTTTTTTTTCATAAAAATAACGATAATTACTTTGGAAAAACAGAAAGAAACTAACTACCTATATGAAATGTTGTTTAAGTTATTCCTTAAGTACTTTTAAATGTAATTACACGAACAATAATACTTTAAGAGGTATTTTAAAAATTTTTTTTCCCATAAAACATGGTTATATTTTTCCATTTTGGGTTGGGGGCTTCAGCCCGAAAGCCCCCTCCCTCCCCCCCCGTAAATCCGCCCGTGCAGGATTTAGTGCAGAATTAAGATTCATCGCCATTATTAATATTTTTTAAAAGCTGATATTTTTAAAAATAACGAGTTTTAATCCGCGGAAGTATGATAATTGTATAATTCGTGAAAATAAATCATCCATATATTTCCTTGATATTCAATACTTTGATGGAAGTAACATTGAAATATTTTTCATGTTCAATCATTCATATAAATATTAATAACCGGAAAACAAATTATAAGCAGCTAAAATTCCGTTTTATTTATCGGTATTTCGTTTTTCAATTGTAAATCCACTCTATATGAATATATTTATTACAATTTTTGTGGAAATAAACACATTCAATATTTAATTCGGAAACAATATAATAATACAAATAATTTATGAATTTCGGCATATATATAATTTTGTAATTTAAAAATTTTTACTCGATTTAAACATTTAAAAGAAACGTTATTAATTTTTTCACTCTAATTATAAATGTTATAATTTATAAATAATTATAAATTTATTTAATTGAGACGGATTGTAATATTTCTCAATAGACAAGTTGAACTAAAATAGAAATGAATAAACCATCATTGATAATTAAGTTCTCAATGTTATTAATACCTGAATCAATGAATGTGTATATATGTTTGAATATGCACTAAGACTTTGAATATATATATATATATATATATATATATATATATATATATATATATATATATATATATATATATATATAGAGAGAGAGAGAGAGATATTATATATTCTGTCTCAATTAATGACAGTGACAATAGTGATAAAAGAGTTCATTCATACGATATTTACAAAAAGTAAAGATAGCTAAATCAAACAGCAGAAAGATAATTAAAAAAAAATAACTGAATGCTAACGTTAAATAGTCAGATTAAAAGAAGGCATAATAGTTCGTCGTTATTGTTTTTAACAATTAATATATTAAAGTTTTCTTAAAGTAAATATTCTCATAATTTATAAACATATTGCTATCTCCGTAACTAATAGGAGTTATTTATTTACTGTTTGTTAATTGTGTGGGATTGATTTTTGGATAAATCGTGGTCACTAGCGAATCCAGGATTTAATTTTTTTGGGGGGAGGGCTTCAGCCCAAAAGCTTTTTTTTCATAAAAATAATTTAAAAAAAATTACTTTGTGAAAAAAGAAAAAAACAACTACCTACACGAAATGGTGTTTAAGTGATTCCTAAAGTCCTCTTAAATGTAATTACACGAACAATAATACTTTTTTCCATAAAACATGGTTATATTTTAACATTTTTGGGGGGGGGGCTTCAGCCCCAAAATCCCCTCCCCCGTAGATCCGCCCGCGATCTTGGTGTATTATCCTTAAATGTTAATTTTAAATGCATTGTTAATATCATATTTTAAACTTTTAATATATCTTTAATTATTTATTAGCGACATAAATATCCTTCCAGATTTCATATTTAATAATTTATCAAAGACATCTTATCTAAGACTTAGAAGATAACCGCTTAATTGTACAAAAACAATCCCATCTTTCTAACTAATATCTTCAAAGGAACTTCGGTAAATGTATATTTAGTAGTTCTAAATATAGAAGCTACTCTTCGCTTCAATGAGCCCCAGACTAATGACTCTTTTTGTACTATTTTTTAGTGTCAAGAGATTGTTTTATGCCTTGTTTTATTTTCTTATCGGTTTTTTTCTTCCCTTTTTTTTTCTTAAAGGTTCAAGGGTTAGACCGACAATATACGAATATTTTTATATATGATTTTTATTATCATTAATGTTTTTTAAAAATGTTTTATCTTTATAAATAAATAAAATAATAATCTCGAAGTTTTATAGTTCAATAATAAAAAAAAAGTAAAACTGTAAAACCTTATAATACTGTTAATAATGTTAAATTTGTTTGACAACAAAAAAAAATTAATAAATAAATATCAATAATCAGGTATTTTTTAAACTCTAAAAATCAATACATTAATTGAAAATAAAATTATAAATATATATATACATGTATACATTTTTTAAAAATAATTTAAATATTCAAAACTTAAAATAGGATTTTTTTAAAAATCTTAACTAAAAAAAAAATGTTCAAAACTAATAGGTAAATAGATTTATGTGAGTAAATTTAAAATTTCTGATATGAAATCAGAAACTGTATCGTTACGACATACAATTTTACAACTGATTTGATGTATCAAACTACAAAATTAAATTAAATTTAAAATTAATTTGCCTCATACAGACACATTCTCTCACACAGCCATACGCACACATGCACAAAGATACTATTTTATTGATATTAATCATGCTTAATGTATTCATGGTAAACAACAAATTATCAATAAGCACGTATGATTTTACTCCTTAGTAAAAGCGATTCTTCAATTAAAATTTTCATGACAATTATAAATTATTATTGTATCCCCTTACTCCGTGTACGACTCTGGATTGCCTTGTTTTATTTACAATATGTAATTTTAAAAATTGCACTTTTTCCAATAGCTCATTTTCGATCAATATTCCGGAACTGAAATGTTGCCTGCGATCCTAAGAAACTTTATCAAATTCTATTATAACACAGACAGTACCGTCCGTCTTTGACCATTCATAGCTGCCTTTTTTTTTTTAACAATAAGTAATTCAGAATTGTACCTAAATTGTAGTAACTTGACGTTTGCCACACGTCCCTCTATTTACAACATACAAAATATTAAATGTCATTCAATAAATGATCATACAAATGTGTATTAATGACATGGTTATTTTTTAAATATTAGTTATACTATAAAAATCATTATAACTATTACATTTTCCAATATTATTAAAATGGTGTAAATTTTCCTTCAAAATCGTCATAAGCTTTATATTTATTGCAGAAAGAGAGCATTATTCAATATAATGTGTTCCTTGATAATACTTTATATACCTAAGTAGATGATAACAAGTAGATTTGACCAACTTGCTAATTTAGTTCTCTTATCGATTATTTCAAAGCTGATATGTTTCATGGAAGAATACTTTAAAAGTTAAATATCTATATTAAGTCACAAATAAGCAAGTGTGGGATTTCAAAAGACTATAATCCGTATAAATTTTCTACTCGACACCACACAAAATTTATTATCATTATAATATAAATACAGCCTATATCCCAGTCAATGTCTTTTTATAGACTGTAATTATTTATTAATTATTGAACATATTTATATATTTTCCCCATATGTGGTATCATCACTTTGATATAAGATGGAAGATACCTAGTGGCAATTTTATGAAAAAAAACCAAGTGTAGACCCTAAACAGAGAAAAAACTAATTCTATTTCCAAGCATGAAAGCAATGATACGCATTTTTCCAATGGCGATAGAGTTACAAGAAAGCCTTATTATCCGATTTATTTACATTATCAAATCCAGAGGAGAAGATATATCAATATTTGTACTCATTGTGCTCCGAAATACATATCTCAACTAAAGGTAAGTCCAAGTCATTTTTACATGAAGCCACCGTTATATATACAGGCTCAGACAAACAATAGAATACAACTGAAAATTAAGTAATTTGGAAATAAATATTACATCCAAGAAAAGTGCTCCATCTACTAAAGAAAAAATAATAATAATCTTAGGGCCGTGGCATACCAGAGTCGGTCACCAAAAATTTACATGATGTACGATATGTCTCGGACTAAACAAAAACAGTAATAAATAATAATATTGACAGTATTTACATTAGGCTACTTCACTTCTAAATGTAACTGGGTAGTTGAGAAAGGTTCCCATAGCGACCAGTCGACGGTAAGAACAGGAGGCTCACCTTGCCCAAGCTGTGGTGTGAAGAGGAGTGAAGGCGCTGCGTGGCTCTGGATCCGGGTTCCCGATCAGCGACTCGATGGAGAAGGAAGGCCGCGGTCGAGGAGGACATGGCAAGAGGATCCTTGCCAGAGGACCTGGAGGCAGGAGAGCTGGAGGCGGCATTGGTGCCAGGTACGGGTAGTGGTACGGCGGCACCACCTCAGGAGCAGCTCTCTTGTACCGCTTCCTCCGCCGCAAAAATGAGCCGTTGTCGAACATGTCCTCGGCCATCGGATCCAATGTCCAATAGTTGCCTTTTCCGGGATTTCCTGGCTCTCTTGGGATTTTGATGAAGCAGTCGTTGAGAGAGAGGTTGTGCCTGATCGAGTTCTGCCAGGCCGGGAACTTTTCCCGATAGTACGGGAACCGTGTCATGATGAATTCGCAGATCCCGCTAAGTGTCAACTTCTTGTGCGGGGACTGGAGGATGGCCATGGTGATGAGGGCGATGTAGGAATAAGGCGGCTTGACAAGGCTCGGCTTTTTGCCCTCGACTTCCTCTTCTTCGGCAGGGCGCTGTTCCCTCAGGTCCAGCGGCGTCTCCGTCAAGTCCATCCCGTCAGTTGAAGCATCAGACTGAACCGGTGTCTCGAGCTAGGGGCGGTACTGTGGGCGGGGTCTACTTTCATTGGTCCCCCACCACCACGGCTTATCCCCACCCCAACGTAATTATTAGTTTAGAAATGAGTCACTCCTCAGATGTACAATCTAACCTTTATTTATATTACGTTTCTACTTCCGCTCACTAGCTTTTTTCCTATATACTGTCTTCGTTTTGCTGTAAGAAAATCTCACTGGCAAAAACAATATTGTACAAGGAAAACTCATTTGCTTTTCATAAAGTTTTTTCAGAAAACAAAGACATTTAATCCATTTTATCTTACTAAGATAAATTGATGCTTTTTTTTATTTAACAATTTAGCATTAGGTATGTTATATTTAAAACAAATAAAAACATCAGATTTATTCATTAGGTTCTTAATTGTAATTATAGTAATAATTGTTACACCCACATTAAAGCTGTCCTCATTTTACACTTCCAGTTGATTTAACAAATATTTCCTGCTTTAATTATAATAATAATAATAATAATAATACGCATCAATCATTTCTATTTCTCTATTAACAATTGAGCACTATTCTTAATATTACAGACTGAAATTAGAAAATTCTAAATGTAAAAAAAATTATATATATATATATATATATATATATATATATATATATATATATATGAAATTAAAGATATGTCCCATATATTTGCTTAAATTCTTATTAAACAATAACGTTTTGGTGACATTAAACTCTAGCCCAGACAGTATTATTGTGTAACACATGAATTTAAGATTTTTTGTGATGTTAAAACATGTTTAAAGATTCACAGATTTTTGAACAAATACGAATAATGGTCTCTTGTTAATGATAACTATTAAATATTAAACATTAAACATTTTTATTATAATACCTAAGTCATTTTACGTTGCTAACTTACGTCATCAACTTTAGAGTAAATAAATATTTTTAGAATCACATGGATTTTATTTACATAATTCAAATATGGATCAAAGATTACTCTAATAACCTAATTTAATTTTTTATTCACTTAATTAGCAATGTTCCGTTGTTTCGTTTTTAACAAAAAAAACGTGAAAACTAAATAAACGCTCTACTAGATTTATCTAAAAAGATAAATTCCAGTTATTTTAGATTTCATTATATACTAGTATATATTTCATTATATACCTAAAAATAATTGAAAATAAAAACCAGCCAACCGAGCTCATGAAAATTATGTATTTAAAAATTCATTATTAAAATATTTAAGTTAAGTTAAGATCAACATTGTTGAACAGAGATACTTTAGCTGGCGCCGATTTTGCTATAATATTAAATTTGATAAAAACTTGATAATTAGAATCATTTAATAAATAATTTATGTTATCAACTTTATTTGACTTGAATAAGCAATATTTAACTTGAGAAAGGTTGTTTTTGCAAATTATAAATTAGATCGTTTTAATTTGATTGGCGCAGATATAATCAGAAGACGATACATGGACATGTTAAAATGGGTTTTATTATTTATGTTTTTATTTGTATTTGTTCTATCATCAATAAATTCTGAAAGTTGTGACAGACTATATATTTTCGATTTTTACCTATGCCTTACCAATCCGCTTATGATTTTCGCAGCACGCTCTAACAGATGAGCAAAAGAGATACAGACAAGCCACTGCTGCGTGGGAATTTGAGTGGACACACGGATAAAGCCCATATTGAACCGACATTATACCACTCATATGAGTAAATATACCCTAAAAAAATATAAATGAAATGAAAAAAAAATTAAAAATTCATTAAAAAAATATTTTGAATAAATAGTTTTCTATGAAATATGCCAACAATAAATTTTTATTTATTTATTCCTCCATGAAAAATTTCGTAATATTTTGTTTGCTAAAATTCAGATTTTGACTTGAGTAAACTGCCAGTCGCTTTGGTGCTCTCAGCTTTGGTCTTGGTCTTGGTCTTGAAGTTGCCAATTGGCTTATTACTATAGAGATATAACTGTATATTTGTTTAGATAGAAGAAACCTAACTAAGCTCAAATAAAAAATTAGAAGAGTTAAATGCAAAAGTATATTGGTTATACCAATTTTTTTACATGTATGAACTAAAATTGCAAAGTGTAGTAACTATTTTGTCTTAATTTTCATTCGAAAAATCGATTTTTTTTTACCTGTCTTGGTCTTGCAACAGTTAGGCATTCTTGGTCTAGGTCTTGCAAAGCGCAAGAAAAAGTCCGATTTTGGGCAACACTACTATCTATATCAAATAGAGTTGAAATGATTCTTTAAGTACTATTAAATGTAATTACACGAACAATAATATATCTATTATTAACTCTATATCAAATAGAGTTGAAATGATTCTTTAAGTACTATTAAATGTAATTACACGAACAATAATACTTTTAGAGGTAATTATTAAATATTTTTTTCATAACACATAGTTATATTTTACCATTTTGGGGAGGCTTCAGTCCGAAAGCCCCCCCCCCTCTCCTTAGATACGCCCTTGTTACATGTTAATGAGTTGAAAGCTGTCTATTACTGATACTAGTGTTGCCCAAAATCGGACTTTGTCTTGCACTTTGCAAGACCAAGACCACGTAACTGTTGCAAGACCAAGACCAGGATTGGTAAAAAAAATCGGTTTTTTAAATAAAATTAAGGCAAAATAGTTACTAATACTTGACAATCTTAGTTACTATATGTTAATAATTGGTATAACCAATATACTTATGCATTAAATTCCTCTAATTTATTATTCGGGCTTAGTTAGGTTTCTCCTATCTAAAAAAATACAGTAATATCTCTATTGCAATAAGCTAATAAGTAACTGTAAGACTGTTGTGAGATTCTTGCGGAAGACCAAGACTCGATTCGGTCTCGCATTTGGGCAACACTAACTGGTATATTTACCATATTACCAGATATTGTTTGACTTTATTAGTTTTTTAATCCAAATTGTTAGCGATACATACTTTTATTTTATGCATGTATACATACCTACACATGCCCATGTTACAACGTCATATTCGTTGTTCATATCAGTTATTCTTTCTTGTTTTTTCTTTGATCTACTGCACTAACGGATCCAAGATTTAATTTCGGGGGGTCTTCAGTCCCAAAGATTTTTTTTTTTGTATGTGTATATTACGATAATTACTTCGGAAGAAAGAAAAAAAAACTAACTACCTATATGAAATGAACAATAATACTTTTAGAGATCTTTTTTTTCATAAAACATGGTTATATTTTACCATTTTGGGGGAAGGGGCTTCAGCCCGAAAGTTCCTTCCCCCCCCCCCCACAACGTAGATTCCCCTGTGATATCAACCGTTCTGCTCTATTACCTTCTTCCATCTTTCAAGAAGCCTCATTATACCTTTTTACCAAAATTGTTGAGACTTACATGCAAAATATTCATTGTTGTGCGTTTTTATTTCGCTTTCAAGTTTGTGACGTTTATCTCGGAAAGAATTTTTTAACAAAATAAACAAGTAATAATCGGACGGGGAAAGGTCTGGGGAGTAGGGTAGAACTTCCCAATCAAACTGTAGGATTTTTATCCTATTTTAAGTCTTGAACATATAAACTATTTAAAAATAAAAAATAAATAAATATATATATATATATATATATATATATATATATATATATATATATATATATATATATATATGCATATATTAATGTATGCAATATCAGGAATTAATAATAATGCATAAAATGACAAAACATTTTTATGTATATATAAAAAGAATTTGTATTTAAAAACAAAACTATTATTATAAATACCGTAAGATGGGGTAACTTGGGTACGGGGGGGGGGGGGGTAAAATTTAGTTTGTGGTGATTCCGTGGTGGATACACTATGTTGGTTTAGTCTGTAAAAACGTATTTCGTACTGTGCTACTATCTTGGGGCACATAAATGTTTCATTAGCAAGAATTTTGAATAAAGCTATGGAAATAAACAAAATCAAACTGCACAACGAATGTAGTGAACTAGCATTCTCAAACTGCCGCAAGGTAGTAGCGTAGTACTAAGCAAGTTTTTGCAGACAACCAATACAGAATCTCTACTAGTGTTGCCCAAATCCGAGACAGAGACGATCTTCAGTCTTGGTGATGGTCTTGGTGATGGCAAAGTGCAAGACCAAGACCGATTTTGGGCAACACTAATCTCCACAAACTAAATTTTACCCGCTGTCCCAAAGTTACCCCATCTTACGGTACTTATAATATCGAATATGATATTCCCAATTCATTAACCGAGAAATAATTTTAGGTTCTGTTGGTAAGATAAGTAAGTGTTTTTTTTATAATTTAATTTTTATTTCGTAATTTTTGTACATGATTTATTAGTTTTTAATAGATAGTCAGGGGTAGTCAGATATAATATAATTAACTGTCAGATATAATGTAATCATAAAAAAATGCCAGTATTAAATATATTAAATCAACCATTTCCGGATCGAACGCAAATAAAATATTGGAATGACGTGTTCATTCATGATTGATCTGTAAATCTTGCCAACGCGATTTTCTTTTTTTACATTTTAAATTAAAAACAAAACAAATACTGTCAATTTTTTTATTAAAAAATTTCACTGAATCAATCTTTTTTTCTTTTTTTTTTTAAAGCAGGAACACACGACTCACAAGATAGACGTGTTTAATCGGAAAAAAAAGAAAGAAAAGGAAAAAAAAAAGAGGGGATCTTTTATAACAGGTCAAGAATTCTAAAAATACGTTTTCAAACAGAACTTTAGGTTTGATGACTGTAAACATGTATTCAGAAGAGCTCGTCCGCGGTTGAAAATAGGACAAACGGCTGTTTAAATCGGGCGGTAAATAAAATTCGGTAAAGAAAACTCTCATTGCTAGGGCAATATTTTAACTGTCAGAAGGTTTAGAATTAGTGAAAAGAATTTTTTTTAGACAAAATAACACGGGTTGCTGCCAAGAACCCATTTAAAAATATTCA